AACCCAGTGTTACTCCCTACGACAGACAGTGCACCCTAACCCCAACACCTAACCTCAGTTACTCCTACGACAGACAGTACACCCTAACCCCCCAACCACCTACCTCAGTTACTCCCTACGACAGACAGTACACCCTGACCCTAACCCACATACCTCAGTTACTCCCTACGACAGACAGTGCACCCTGACCCCAACCACCTAACCTCAGTTACTCCCTACGACAGAGAGTACACCCTAACCCCCAACCACCTAACTCAGTTACTCCCTACGGACAGACAGTACACCCTGACCCCCCCCCACCCCCAACCACATAACCTCAGTTACTCCCTACGACAGACAGTGCACCCTGACCCCCAACCACCTAACCTCAGTTACTCCCTAGACAGACAGTACACCCTGACCCCCAACCACATAACCTCAGTTATCCCTACGACAGACAGTACACCCTGACCCCCCCCACCCCAACCACATAACCTCAGTTACTCCCTACTACAGACAGTACACCCTGACCCACCACCTAAACCTCAGTTACTCCCTACTACAGACAGTGCATCCTGATCCCAAACCCCCTCAAGTCACCCTAACACCAACCCGCGTACCTTTGCCAGTGCGTTTTGCTGATGGAATGCCGAGATTCGACGCGATGAGCACCGTCAGCGCTAGGATACCCCGAGCTTACAACTGATTTACTTGGACTGCGGATTTCAATTAGACATTTCTTAGTAACCAGCAGTGATATTGGACAAACTAATACGCGTTTGGCTATAAGGTAATGTACTTATTAACTACACAAGGTGCCAGTTACTCTAGCATTCGTTAAAATTGCATAATCGATGGGCCTATTATGCCTTTAATTATAATCTCACCTATAATTTATACATATTTAATCTGATATTAATACATATTTAGTCTGATAGCACAGCTGCCACATGGCTATATATACAGTGTAACTGTATGACTATGGCACATTCGACAGGGTAGTTATTTCAGTCACACATACTCGTATATACGAATGTTTGCAATTTTTGCAGGCAGGTTAAGATACCGAAGATAATTGTAAGATCCAATGGCAGATAGGATCCAATTGACGGCCCTGTAAAATTTAGTTTTCATTGGCGAAGAAAGTGCTATGTATAGATCAACTGAGCTAACTAGGTAGGCGGATTGTTGACGGCCTTGCACGAAACCATGAAACTAGACAAAAACTAATTAACAACATTCCAATAATGGAAACACAGATTATCCGACACAACCCCAGCTACAGATATATGGCTGCAAATAATATATTCGAAGTATTTTTAACACTTGACGTTGTCTGCAAAAATAGCTGCAATGCCAAAATAGTAGCATTTTCTTGAAAAATCTGTTTTGCAATTTTAGTATCGTTTGCTGCCAAGACGAGTGGCTGCCAAGCAGTTTCAAAAAAAGGCTAAAGTACTTAGTAATAGTACTTATATATATCAGTAGGTGACATTTCAATCTTATTGTTAAGCACACAAATTAATATTAGACCCATTTCAACTATACGAATTATGAACATATGATCTATTTCATCTAACCTTTATGCAATCTTCAAGTAATTAGTAGTAACACAAACATACCCATACAATTGCATAGATACGTTGACGGCATGACACATAGTGGTAAAGGTGTCTAGTATATAATTAAGCAATATATAATGCAGCAAAATTCCATATGGCTAATCCTGCAGCTTGGATAATAACAGCTCCCCGACTTCACGCCTTATAGTACTAGTACTGTGAAAATACCAGCCAAACTTTGAACTCGGGTTTTTTACAAACTAATCTTAGCACCACGGCAGCAGCACTAAACAGCACTTCTAGCTAACACATTTAGTAAGCTAATCATTCGGTAATAATGACAGCATATATGAATATATATGAGTTTCTCATATACGTAACTTAGTAACGTATGTAATCAAGGCAGATTTGCACTAGAACGGGGACACTTTGTGGAAACTAAAGATGGGAAATATATAATAGCGATGCTTCCACAAAAAGTCAATTACTTAGAAACTATGCTGTTGGAGTCTCAGTAATACTGCAATAAGAAAGAAAAAAAAGAACTGCTAAAAAGGTTGCTGCATGCACGACTCCTGCATCACGTCTGCATAACTTAAACTATAAAGTCCGCTGTAGCAGTTATTCTGGCACCGTTCCAGCAACGCGAGCAGTGCACCGCCACAATCGCGTTCCGATGTTTCGACGGCGCCGACATACGCACCTTTTTGGTTTTCGTGTCGGGACTAGCCTTGGCGAGCGCGAGAAGATTAGTTCCCGATCCGGTCCGACTCGGTACCGCGCTACCTGCCGGCGTCTGCCCAGGTGTCGCGCCGGGCGTGGCGCCAGGTGTGGTGCCCGGGGTCGTGCCCCTGCTACCTGGAAAGATGAAGCAAAGGCACCATCGTCATTCGACGCTCTACCGTCGGCCGCTCGCTTCGTAAGCGTAATCCCCCTCCCCCCGTGTGTCGACAGACCTCCATCATCCGCCGTTCCCCATTTAGACGTTCTCTCTCTCTCTCGCGCGCGCGTGCGAGGGCATGCACTAGCCACGTGCCGCCGGCTAGAACACCACGGCAAGCACTTTCCGTGCACTGCCGAGGAAAAATCGCCCCCCCCCGCTAACAGTGTATTCCCCACCCGCCCCCGCCCAGTGTTTGTTCGCGTTGTTATCCCCGCCGTATTTACGATGGTGAAACTTGTAAGCCGGCGCGTGCACGTGCGCGGACAGACGGACGAGCGAGCGTGGCTAATCGTGTTGTAACGCCAGTACGGAAGCTATAATAGCACACACCGGCTGACGCTGTGACTCGATCTTGAGAGAACTTCAAACACGAATACAATTTATATTAGGGTGAATGAATTATATAGGTTTAGAAGCAGTGACGGCGACATAACGACGGCTGGCTGCAATGAGCTGTGAAGAAACAATAAACAACCATGCCACCACATGTCTAGCCTAACACCCACCAACCATCCACCAATGCACATAATGGCAACGAGACCTTTACAGCGTGTACATAAGAAAAACGAAAACTCACGTTAAAACAACGCAACACGTCGAATTACAGTAACTTACATTTTCGATTTGCATGTCATTGCCAACCACTAGCTAACCTGCGCGTGGAGTTTACATTTGAGAATAGATAACTTGTACATGACAAAACCCAAAACTTCACCCAGCTTGTGCACATGTGCAAGGCATGATCGTCTGCTATCATTTTCAAAATATTGTTCACTTTGGATATCAAGTAGTTACAATCAGTTGGACTTTGCAGTACATCGAAATCCACGCAGGCAACGGTCGAAAGTTTATAATTAGATAGGTGACATCTCTACCCTAAGCTGACAACGGTATAGCACTACGTGATGACGATCCTTAATTATATAAACACACGGTAAACGTGAACGTTGAGCCTGGAACATCACGAGGTGGTGGCAGTTAGGAATCTTAGGATAGTGGTGAGTCACTGGTGACTGTAACAGATATTTGCTTAAAGTCTGTACACCCGATGTAATACTACTGGTAAACACCACTGAACATTGCTGACATATCCACACCCGCTTAGCTCAATACAATACACCCACACATCGTTTTGGCGACACAGTGGACATTACTACAGTCACTGACAGTGACTGCTGTGTCAACGTACCCACAACTAGTCTTACCATTCAGCCAGCCCTTCAACAGTGAAGGCACCAAACCTATATGTAGATGTGAAATATATATATATGCAAACTTTCAAACAAAATCGGATTACTAGGAAGATGAGCATAAGCTATACTAATGCAAGGTGGATCATGATCGAATAACACAATTATACCATAAAACTAGTTCCCGTTTGAAACAGGTGATAATGAAATATGTTAGCGCCTTTATAAGAGCTTTAAGATATAAATCCATCATGAGTACGCGCTTGGAAAAAATCCCGACTTTTATAAGCATAATAAATTCACAAAGAATCCAATTACAATCGGCACAGCCCACTTATGTAACCTCGTAACCTTGTAAATATCAGTCTTCAAAGTCCAAGGGACTATATCGAAGACGGAAAGAGACAAAGTTGATCAAATACACAGATCAATACTGTGGATATCTATTAACTGTCGACGCACTGCTACGCAAACAGGTGTGTACACCACCGCACACACTCATACCGTAAGCTGGGATGGGAAACTATTTTTTAGTATCATTAATCAGTTCGGCGTGGGTGTTTGCCAATAACATAGAAAGCTACTTACATGCTTGTAGGAGCGGCACTTTAGATTCACTGTTGGGAATGTTCAATCCGTTTGCCTTTGCCATGTTTGGTGTTTTGACATTGCCATCCTCGTACAAAGGTGCCAACTGCAAACAAACATGGCCACAATGCAATAGACATAGCATACTCACAACCCAAATCGTGAATGATCAAAAGACAAGAGATGGAGAAATTTCTATCTATGAAGAGAATGGAGAAACACTTTCTATGGTAATACAATCAACAATCTCAAATAAATAAATTATCTTGAATTATCAAGGACGTACCACCCATTTTGGGTGCCACACTTGATATTGTCATCTCATCACATCAGAATGGCATATAACTAATAAACCTCTATATCATCATTAAATCATGAAACAGTTATCCAATTGTTAAAATCAAATGTCTATCCAGGGTTGGGACCTACATATCGATATACGTATCGTATCGTGACCTATGTATCGTAACCCCAGCGTATCGCCACACCTCTTGACCCTGGCCTAAGCCGCCGCTCACCTTGGCCTTGTTGCCTCGACCCTTGTCGCCCGGGTTGGCCCCACCGAGATACATATCGTATCGTGACCTCTGTATCGTATTGTGACCTACGTATCGTATTGTGACCTACGTAACGTATCGTGACCTACGTTACGTATCGTGACCTACGTATCGTATCGTGACCTCTGTATCGTATCGTGACCTACGTATCATATTGTGACCTACGTATCATATCGTGACCCACGTATCGTATCGTGACCTACGTATCGTATCGTGACCCACGTCTCATATCGTGACCCTAGAATCGTCACACCTCTCGCGTCGCTCACCTTGCCCTTGTCGCCAGGGTTGGCGCCGATGCTGAAGGTCACGCACGACTTCTTGAGGTCGATGCTCTCACGGCTGCCCCGGCTGTCGGTCAGCGAGCCGGCGTCGCCGTCCGCGCCGTCGGCCGTCGTGAACTCGTTGCACTCGCTCTCGCGCCGCTTCCTCTCCTCCTTCAGCTTCACCTTGACGGCGTCCAGCGACTCCTTGTGCGTCAGCATCCCTGCAACGGCGACCGCGAAGCGTGAATCGTGACGGCGCGCGCCAGTCGAGCGGTAGCAACGCTCCCCCGGGGCCTTCACTCGTGCGGCAGGCGACACACAAGAATCGGCGTCGTCGGTGGGGGCCACACGCGTGAGTAACTAATAAATACACAACTAATAAATAAGCAACGAAAGCCGACCGCTACCGGACGTGAACGAGCAAGAACGCGACGAAAATCCTCGAACCAAAAGTAGTAACACACGCTTCGCTCAGCGGTCGAAACCCTGTCTGGAGCCTTCACACGTGCAGGTGATGGCCGTCGCATGCGCAAGAATTAAGAATCAAGATCAAGATTAAATTGAGAATCAAGAATTAGAACCACTACGACTACTGGACTAACTCTGTAAGCACCGACGGCATGACTCGATCCACGACAAGATCTCGCAACACTTCAGCATAGCACAGCGCGGTTAGGCCACAATTAAAAAAATCATTGTTTGCCCTCACCCGACCCAGGCTGAAAAGTTTGGGTAGGTAGGTACAGGTAGGCGTTTTTTTTTTTTTTACAAATTCAGCATGGTGTCTACACGCTCGGGTGTGCTTGTGTGGAGATACCTTTTATGTTGAATGTTTGTTTTGCTTGGCACATATAATGTATTACCTACAGATTTATATAATGTACAGTGATACAATTTGTAAAAATGAAATTTTTTTTTGTAAAGATCAATCAATTTTCTTGAGTCGGCCCCTTTTCGGCAGGTCGGTCGGGTGAGGGTCAAACAAACAATATTTTTATTATGGCCTTATACCTAGTGCCAAATCACGCTTATCAAACCGTACAAACCTTCGGTCATGTTCGGTTGCGGCGGCGGCGGCAGGATCTTGTTTCCGTTCTCGACGTCGTTCGTCACGAGGCTGATCTCCATCATCGGACTCATCGGCTGAAACGCCACCTCCCCTGCAACAGGCGTAAACAACAATCAAAACCACGTATACCGTTACGTTCGTTGTTGTCCGGCACGTCGTCAGAAGCCACGCACTAATGACGATGAAAAGAGCGATGAGAACGTACGGTATCCCAGGGGTAGAAATGAACTTTTGAACAACTAGGGAGTCCAACAGACTCCCTACCCTCAAAAAGAGGGAGTCCGCAGCAAAATGAGGGAGTCCGCAGCAAAATGAGGGAGTCCGCAGTCTGAGGTTCAAAATTAAAGATATTAAAAATAAATCATGTGCTTATTTTTAAGATTCATGGAGTTGCACGTCTGCAAAATTTTCTTTGGACATTAGCTGAAAAAATACAGTAATTCCGCGAGGCTGTGCTCTGGAACGAACTAGTTGGTATGGCAGAATATTCAGCGAGTCACACAGACTCCTGCATATGTCAAATCAGGGAGTCAGACAGTAAATCAGGGAGTATTTGACTTCGGACTCCCGTTAATTTCGCACCCTCGTTATTCAACTATATTTTACCCTATTACGTCGCCGGCTGCATTTGCAGCATTAGTGCCGGCTGGGAAAACAAATCACTAGTAACGTAAATCGTCACTCAGATGTACTCGAAACGCGAATAACATGTGATTTTTACAAGTATAAATTGGAAATATTTGACACCAAAAAAGGTAAAAAGTTTCATGAACTGCGATGTACATATATCCAGACAGACAGGAATGCATGGAAGTATTGCTTTCATTATCAGAGAGAGCAGGAAACACACGTACACACTAAATAATTTCTGTCCATCACTAGATAATTCGCTGCCGCAATCAGTTCTAGCTCAGAGTCTATAAAAAATGCAATGCATTATACAGAGCTTTCAGAAAAGTGAGATATTACAGGAGTCAGTGGAATCTGCCCTAAAACGAATCCTGCCATGACGAAAGTTGAAATTAATTTTATTCCAATCTCTCAGTGCATAATTTATAAATTCAGAAATCAGAATCTCTGGTTACCCATCTCATGAGCATAGATGCACCGTGCAAACACTTTGGTAATTACATTTACATACATCGAACTGAATGGCATTTATCTAGAAATTTATCGAGGAATTAGCAAGTGTGTGCTCTAAGAATCCGCAAATTGCCACGTAATCTCAGAAGAGCAACTCTGGACGAGTCTGATAACAGACGCACGCGGGCGGATATTTCAACGCACGGCGACAGATGCACCCCCCTCCGCTCTCGCTAACCCAACTAAAAAATCGCAAGATCAATCTGCAGAGACGAGTAGGAGAGAGAGAGAGAGAGAGAGAGAGAGAGAGAGAGAGAGAGAGAGAGAGAGAGAGAGAGAGAGACGAGACAGCAGAGACGAGCAGAGCAGGAGAGAGAGAGAGAGAGAGAGAGAGAGAGAGAGAGAAAGAGAGAGACTAGCGGCAGAGACAGGAGGATCTTGCCTACGAAGGCGAACACCCGTAGAGGATGCACGCACACAGTACCGATCTCATCTCCAAGGCTTCACAAGGTCACACATTGCAGTCAGCGCCTTTCTCTAGTGCTGTTCTCTAGCGCAGTTCACTAAGGTGATTAGCGCAGTTGTTAATTAGGCAGCAGCGCACGCAGGCCGCGACGACGAGCTGCCGGCAATCGTGTGCCGCGCGCGACCCATTCCGCGCGCCAATCTACATTTACAAAGGAATACCCGGCTGCGGATACGCGCAGCATCGCACCCGCAAGGTGACCTGCAAACCGACACGCAAGCGCGCGAGGCAAGAAGAGCATTCCACGCGCCACGCGTACTGCGCCGCTGTACTTGCGGCTGGAAGCACGGCGCACGTTTTTCACGCGGTGCGCCGAAAACCCCTCAGACGACCGCGAGCGCCGCCTACAGCCGCACTGCCGGCGGCGGGGCGCCCCCTACATCTGCGCTTCTTACGCTACGCGAGCGCCCCCTACATCTGCGCTGCTTACGCTACGAGCGCGCGCCCTCGTAACTTTCCGGCGATCGAGCGATCGGCACGGCCTACTCGCGAAAGCACTCCCCTGTGTGTGCACTGCCCGCAGCATCCGCACCCCAACGTCAACAGCACTGCATCTGCACGGTTATCCCACGCTGCGTCTTCCGTCTGCTGCGTTCGCCCCTCACTCCTCAAGACCTCGCGTCTTACGTCTTAGTACTCGAGGATTCGAATAAAAAAAATCATTTTTTAAAAGGGGAAATCATGGGGAAGTCGGTGGGGAGCCAAGTATTCACGCATTTTATCATTAAATCTAATACAATTGTGTTTTACTTGTTGATGATGCAGGATAGGATAAGATAGGATATAAGATTACGACTGAACATATATAAACACAAGTGAATACAGTGCTTTGGACAGAGAAGAATCTGATTAAATAAAGATACTGTTGAGAGTTGAAATACAGATTTTACATTCTTAATCTTACTTTAATTATTTTTATTTTATTTTTATTTTAAACCCCCCTAAACTTTTCTCATCGAATTTACACGTTTCACAAAATCGACCCCAGGGACTGTCAAATCCGAGAAATTTCCAAGATGAGTTGGATCTGAGGAAAATTCTCGTCCCTGAGTACTGCTCACGACACCGATGACGACGATGCGCGCGCACTTACTGCGAATCTTGCGCCGCTGCCACGGGACGACGAAGAAGTGAACAGCGATGCAGACGATGATGCCTCCGCCGATGCTGAGGATGATGCATCCGTAGAGCGGGATGCGGTCGAAACGAAGCACTGAAACAAACAATAACATCGCTAGTGAATCGTCGTTAGTGAATCGTTAGTGCAACCTCACCAGTGGTGGCACGATTCATTGATGTATACGAACCCACGACGATACGTGTATCGATACGCCCGACTATTCGCGATACACAAACCACGATTCAACAATTTGCGATACACGCATTGATACTTTTGATTATTAGCAATGCACATATTGATTATACGTCTGGCTATTCGCGATACACGTATTGATACGTTTGACTATTCGCAATACACGTATCGATACGCCAAACTATTCACGATACACGTATCGATACGACCAACTATTCGCGATACACGTATCGATACGCCCAACTATTCGCGATACACGTATCGATACGCCCAACTATTCGCGATACACGTATCGATACGCCAAACTATTTGCGATACAAGTATCGATACGTCTGACTTTTCGCGATACACATATCGATACTCATATCATACCAAATAAAATCCTTATCATTTAGTAACGTAGCTTCATCAGAAAGCAAAAGCAAGACACGAATCACAGCTCAGTAGCAGTTGTTTACCCAGCACTCCACGTCACTGATTTGCAAGCATTCACTCGATTGGTAGAGCACCAGTATAGTTTGCTAGGTAGTTTCTCTTGAAAGTATCACGATACGTATCCTAGGCTAACGTGAAAGGCGTATTGTGGTACGTATCGTCCCACCCCTAAACATTACTGTTAGGCTAGTTACACAATCAACGGTCAAATCTGAATACATACACATCGATTTGCAATGAACTGAACAAATACAGCTTTAAATCACCCTACATCATTATTATGCTCCCGACGACTCGAGTAAATAACCTTACATTTGATATCGAAAGCATCCGAATTTTACATTAATTCAAACATGCAATATGTAACTTGTAAGTGCCTTGGCACGCAGAATGGAAAGTCTCATGTAAACATTTCCTGATCTCGATTATAACCATTTCAGTTCCAGCGCTGGCCAGCCGATGGTCAGCCGGCAATAGAAACATGAATGTTCAAAGGGTACATTGCCGCCAAAACACTTAAAAAATCTTCTAATCTAAGTAAAACAATACTTCAGATGCACTCTCATACCTCTCACAAATATACTGGTGAACGTGCAGTAAACCTGCCTCAAAATTGGACTTCATTTCACTGTTAGCGCACACGAATCCTCACAGAATAAGAAAAAAGCTTAGTCGAGTTGCTTGCTTCTCTTCGTTGACCTTTGACCGCATGCAAACTTCGCGATTCACTTGGCCTGCCAATGCTGCTCACTTCAGGATATTGTGACTTACGACAGAAGTCGACTCCACGCAAGTCGTTTTTCAAATCATAACTGTAACGCTAGACAATAAATGATCGAAACAGACACTGAAACACAGAACCGATTTTATCAGGCCCGTGCGGATGTTTTAAGTGAGCTATTTACTATCACTCCTAGTGGCTAGGCCACTACTACACACGCACACACCTACTTTGAACACGAAAACTTACTCGGTGGTCCTTTGTAGAATACAGAAAAGAGGTTAATCACCAGGGTCAGGCCATAGAAGAACGGTATGAACCTCAGGCCACTCTCCAACGGGTCGTGCTGAAAAAGCAAGACAAGTAAATGCAACTGACACATCCTAGAATCATCTAACCTATCAAGTTATACTCGCCGTGAGTGGGCACTCTCAACTAAACAGGCTTCCTAGTAAACACCTGTATAGAACAACACGAGAATACGTTTAAATAAAATACGCCATGATTGTGCGAAATGATGTTCTCTCACAAGTAGCGATTAAAGCGAATTGCTCACAGCATTGTTCTGAGATTCGAGATATGACAGTAAGTATAAATACGCAGTAAAATAGGTAATACTGGAAGTTCTACAGAGGCTCATGAAGGATGAGTCTGTTGACAGCGAAAGTGATCGCTATTGTGTATAAGAAATCATTATTCTTAGCCCATAGTCAGCATGGATTACAGCAGCTGCTCAGGACTGTAGTTAGTTAACACCAACCAACTTCTGCTGCGATTCCAAAACAATCAAATATTGTTTAGATGTTATGGTGGGAGAAAAGCGATTAAAGATTGGGAGAAAGGTCTAGACACTTTGAGGATAGCAGGATATATTGCACGAATCTTGGGCAGTTGGGCCACGCTACAGCTTTGTTCGTACTTCCTTTTTCTCATGTTCTACATATTTAACATTTCAAATAAACCTCGCTTCCAAATCAAATACCAATATCCGCACACTTCCCCATCTATTTGTTCATGCATTTTAAAATTCATTCTCACGTATTCGTTTATTCAGTTGTTCGTTGATACCATTTTTAACCCTCGCCAAAATCCTCCTAATTTAGCCAATTGATTCAGGTAAAAACTTTATGTTCACACATGCTTTGCTCTGATCCGTACGGTTTTCCAGGTGGCTGTAATGCTGTTACGGGTGGCCAGATCAAAGCTCATGCAGTACAGTATCCCGTTTCCTTGACGCTTCCGTCACAGAAATCGGTACCACTGGTTCATCTGAATGTCAACATGGCCAGCTCCAGTACCAATCGGGCCACACTCGTGTGGTGTGTGTGCGGCAGCGTGCGTGCGTGCGTGCGTGCGTGCGGGTGCGTATGTACACACATTTGACAGATGCCACACTCGATCTCTCGGCAAGACAGGAACGGAGCCAAATTAAACAACCAGAATTCTGCAAATGAAGTCCTCCCTTGATAAAACCGTGTGTGGACAGCACACACACAGGCATACAACCCTAAATTGTAGGCACAAACACAGAGAAAAAAAGCCAAAAAAGTCAATCTGAACATACGGATTTTGACATATACCAGTTTACAGTATCAAAATAGATACAAAAAACAAAGGAAGGGAACAAGCATGCAACACATTTTATTAAACTACAACACAACCCAACAAACTTAGCTAAAAATTAGAGCTTAGTTCATATCTAAGCAAATACACTCAAAATGCCATGCTAAACCAATAAATGATCTGCAGACAAATGAGATGAACTTTTTATTACTACAGTATACTCTCCTATTATTCCTATGCTGTAGATAGCTTGCACTGGCACGAATTCCGGTTTATTTTTTTCCGCCTTTTTTTTAAACACGGTGCAGAACCCGGAATAGCTAACAGCAAGTGCACGAGTTTCATTAAAAACCACCTACGTACTGCCATAGGCCTTGCATATTACACCACAGCCTCTAACAAGGTTTCTAATTAGAAGCTGTCAGAGATTGTAGGGTAGACCGAATTAGAACAGTAGCTATAGGAGCATCTCTGTCTTGCACAGCCGGAGGTCCCATTAGATAGTAGCTACTGTAGGTTGCCTGTGTGTTTGGGTGATACACGGCCGTTGTCATTCGTTTCAATTTAAACTGAATATATCAGCCAATTCTTGGCAATCATGCTCATTACGTTTCCTACATTCCTTCTCTAAAGTTAATTAAATCCAAGCTATTTCTACGCATGAACCTAAGCCATGTACTAACAGCCACGCTCGTAGCATTGCATCGAATAAATGTGTTTCTAACACAAGTATCGTCAAATGGATAAATGTCTGATGGTAGCTATATTCATCCATCCATCTCTCCCACCATTCATCCACCTATCCCCTCCCCCAAATTCACCATCCATCCATCCATCCATCCATCCATCCATCCATCCATCATACAGCATTTTCTACGTTCTTGCACTACTGACTAGAAACTAGCATGGCAGTATAGCATACAGTACGTTAGTATATTGTCGACAGGAAAGTGTAGTCAAATACAGAACCTTACAGAATTTATCACAATTAGTGCAGCAATCAGTGAAATACTAATTAAGCCCTGACGTTACATGAATGAAAAGCATTCGGAATACTTGCAATTATTAACCCTCCACCATTGAAGCATCATATAGTAATAAATTATGATAATTTACTCTACATTGGCTAGCAACAAATCTAACCACGTTTTACTCATCCGATTTAAATCTATCCACCTAAAACATAAATGAATCTACTATAAACTTAAATAGAAAAACATTAAAAAAACAGCGACCCATTCCCCATCACTACTAGCAACACTACATCGCCGCATGCAGGTTTCACCCAAACATATTTTGCAGTATATTGACGTCATGGGCATCATTCATCCATAACCACAGTGATCTAATGTCATGTACAATCATGCAGTCAGTAAACAACAGCGAACTTGACGTCACGCTGACACTGTTGTTTTGTGGGCGGCTGGTACTGCGGTTGCTGCTTGCCTCACCCTTCAATAGTGAAAGCAACTTGAACTAGAATTAATTCTCTTCATATCAGCAGGAAACCTAATGAAACTTCTACCAAGTGCTGCTATTATCAAGCATATATATATGTATATATATGCATATATGTATAAATGCATATATTCATGATATATTTGTTCAAATGACTTCGAAAGTGGAATCGTCGTTATACGCGCTGATATATTCGTGACGCAGTAACCCACGTGTACGCAAATAACCTAATCCTGGGCCATGCATCACTGCACCAGACCACACCACTATATATGGTGACGCACGATGTCATGACGACACGTACGACGTCACGATGACAGGAACGCCACATTCGCAGAATATATATCACGGTTTCGCACGCAATTGTGCTGACAGTACAGCGTTGCGTCACAGTAACGAACACTAGTAGTTCGGTTAGCCAAGGGCAGCATCATTATTCATCTGTATTCTGCAGCAGTCACGTATAGCTAGCTATAGATGCCAACGGGCAGACAGACAGACAGACACGTGCGCGCGTGCGCGTGTGATAATGAGGGAGCCCGAACACTGATACTTCTGTATTGACGAAGAATCCAAGTGCTGCTGGCTTATGGTGGCTATAAATATTACATCCACGGCTGCAAAGCAGCATGTCTGTCTGTCTGTGTGCGTGTGCGTGCGCGTGCGTGCGTGCACGCACGCACGCACGCACGCACGCACGCACGCACACACATACAACAAGCATCTCAGTCACACACTACAAGCAGAACATTCGACGCGTGAACAGCGATCTCACCGTAATCTGCATATATACATACAGCGCGACCCCCTCATTCACTTCACACACTACGAGCAATATCCCCCCTCCCATCCTCGCAGACTGTAGTAAACGAAGATGAAGAAGTGGTGGGTATCCTAGTTCGGATTGCCTTTGGTATTTTTAGCGGGACACCGTCGAGCCGATGTAATGCATATCCGTCAGTGCGCCCTACTTGACCCCCACCTCCCCCCGCATAGCTGCATGCATGCATATACCCTTCCTGCCTATATACAGCACAGGCACTTGGAACGTCTCAATAAACATGTAAACACGAAATGTATTTACTACCAAAGCCTCAATGTTTCTCTACTCAATAATAATTCTACAAACAACATGAATAAGGGGGAATAAACAAAAATATTCATGTTGTTTGTA